TATGCGAGTATCACGCGGTGGTTTATCCAGATTCGGGGCTCTCCGGAGAGATAACACCCCTACTCCTGCATGTCCGAGTATATGCGGTATATCTGGTACAGAGTGCTCTGGAGCTGTATCTGAGATCAATGCTATGGGCACCTGATCTCGTATATATGCGGGTGGCCGGATGGACATGCAAGCTCTAATGGCCGAATGGCATATGGCTTGTGGCCGTGAGCATGTGTGTGCTCATGCGTGTGCTCATGCGTGAGTATGTGGATGGATGGATGGATGGCTAGCAAGCTAGCTAGCTTGCTCCCGTGTGAGCCTCCCCTGGTGCTCCTTATAAAGGGGAGCTCAGGGGACATGGTGCTCCTTATAAAGGGGAGCCCAGGGGACAAGGGGTGGCCCGCGGGGCCTAACTTATACTATTTGGGGCACAGCGATGTGACATGATACGCCCGCTACAGTGTGTTACTATTGCTCAACAGTGCATAGGTCTCGTCAGCGGTATGGGCGTCTTGTCGGTGTCGGGTCGGAGCTGTAGTGGTTGACTTCGGGCACCGGCTGGTTGGCGCAGTCGGCCCGGGCAGTCGGACAGGGGGCCGTGTGGGGCGGCCTGAGCAGTCGGACTGAAGGGCTTTGCTAGCCCCGATGTCTTGAAATATTGTCTCGCTGTCTTCGGGGTACCCGTGGTCAATTACCCCGACAATAACAAAACAAAACAGACCACCCGTACTTGTTTTTAGGAGGATAGTAGTAAATATGTCTACTACACAAACCAAATTATAATCAGCTAGGATTCCTATGTTGGCTCTCATGGTAGATGGCAGCTTGTTTGCTCTTTCCCATCCAGACCCACATATGATTGGCATCTTAATAGTTGATGGTTTTGTGAACCTTGATGCTCAATGATGAACTGATATTGCCCAATTTCAGAGCTGTAGAATAATTGGAAAAAGAGATGATAAATTCGTAAGAGACAAGTAGTTAAAATTACAATATACTAATCACCATTAACAAACCATTGCCTTCAGGGGTAGGTCTAGGAATAGTATTTTTTTGAGATATCAAACTTGAATTATAAACTTCAGTATTACGATGGGAGCTTCGTGCATATTCTCTATAAAAAACAAGGTACCTCTATATTTACTACATAGATCGTGTTTCATCACTCGATGGCAAACCTTACCAAGCAAAAAAAACATGAAATGGTAAGACCTCTTAATAATCCAAATGAAGTCAATGATTACCATAGATGAGGATTATTTGACAGAGATACAAGCTAATGGGGGCATAAACCGCAAAAGTGACACGAGAGCACCTCCTGAATCTGTAGAGCCTAGACTGATATGTGTGGACATAAAAGTGTTGCAATCTGGACCTGCAATGGAAGGGTATATAATCAGTTAACTATGAATTAATAGAATTAGATAATCATTTAGCTACGGACCAATGCGCTTCTGCGTAACTCCATACAAATTCCCTTATAACTAACAAGAGAAAATTCCTTATTTGACACTATCTTAAAATCTGCTTCCTTATTTGACACTGAAAAAGTTTTTCTTCTTTATTTGACACAAGTTCTAAATTTTATTCCCTATATGACATTTTCGTCCATTTTAAGCCTAAATGACACCTGAAAAGACTCTTTTGCCCCTCATGTGGTATGTGTGTGGGGGGCAATAGCGCACACACGCAGCATCAGTGCGAAAGCAGAAGCACACACGCATCAACACATACACATGCACCAACACACACGCACGCGCGCGTGCACACACACACACACGCACACACACACACGCAGCAACACACCCACACACACACACACGCAGCAGCACACACGCAGGCAACACATAGGCACGCAACAACACACACACGCGCACGTACACACGCAGTAGCAAACACACACGCAGCAGCACACATGCACACAAACATGCAGCAGCAGCACACATGTGCGCGTGCACCCACACACGCAACAGCACACGCACGGGCGCACACATACCACATGAGGGGCAAAATTGTCTTTTCAGGTGTCATTTAGACTCAAAATGAACGGAAGTGTCGTATAGGGAATAAAATTTAGGACTAGTGTCAAATAGGGAAGAAAAACTTTTCCAGTGTCAAATAAGGAACCAGATTTTAAGACAGTGTCAAATAAGGAATTTTCTCAACTAACAAACTCGGGGGCATAGCTCTGGAGCTTGGATTTTCTATTTAATACCAAAAAGGTGAAATCAAGTGAGGCAGTGTGACTGAGCCAAACCTATGCTTCTTTAACAAGGTGTCAGCTTATGTATGTGAGGATACTGAATAATACTAACCTATAAGTGGGATGTGGCCATTTTTCAGGCACGCAGGCAGCAATGAGATCACTCGTACACAGAGAACTATTTCTTGCCAATAGCATCCTCGAAAAACCTGCCATTGAATTTCAATAGTTTCATGAGCAATGCAAAGAAACATAACTATGAGTAAGATTTTGAAAAAAAAACTCATCAATAAGCATTAAATGGGAACCTTCTGAAGAAAAGCATACGATTTTCATTCCTCATGCCATCAATCATATTGTACTATGAAGTAAATACATATTATTGGACCAACCTTTCTATCAATCAGTAGCAAGTCTAACAATTATGAGCATGCTCTTGGGATCCAAATCTGCTTTAGAGAGTCAAAACCATCCAACCTTTGATAGCGCTCTGGAAACAAGATCAAAAGAGTGATCAGTACTGGTCACTCATTTTCAAATAATCCTACAGTAGATCCAGTGGCTAACTGGGACGTGCTACCTTAGCAGCCCCATTCGCTGGTTAGTAATCCACACACTGAAATCACCCTCAAACCATTATTACTCGAGCAAAACTGAGACAAGAGAAATGAAATTCATCTAATCAGGGCAAGTGCTCCTTGCAAAAAGAATATCATTAACAGTGATTTCATCCTGTATGTTTAGCACAGATGCATCTAATGGAGTAACTACCACCAGACCATAGACTCATAGGAGCCAGAGATACATAAAGAGAGGAACATAGACGGTATTGGTAAACAATTCTCTATCTAATATTCTAATATATATAGACAGTATTGGGAAAAAACAGTAACATTTTATTGCGAAAACAAAAGAGAAATATGTGCTGAAATTTGAACGAACACTCGCAAATCAACCTGGTGGTGCTGGCTAAAGACGCGGTGGGCGAGGAAGGACTGGATGCGGATATGGCGATTATCACATGCTGTCACGCCCATCGCCCCTGAGTGAGAGCGCAGGCGTCGCCATCGCCCATGAGAGATGGGTCAGAAGAGGAGGGGGTGGAAAAGGAACAACCGGCTGACTCTAGAACATCAGCAATCTGGGCAGTGCGTGGTGACCTGATCCGGTACGTCGTTTCCATTGCGTCTCTCTCTCTCCGGTGACCAACAATGACAGCGGCGGCGCATCGTCCTAGGTCGAAGGGTGCCGACCTTGCTAACGAAACGACGCCCTAGCTGGCTATCGATAGTCCTCTTTGGGCTGTATATACCGGAGGCTGCCACAGGCTCATCAGGCCCAATTTGTTAGGTCGTATGTACACCCGGGCCCAAATTAACCACAGGCCTTCAAAAATGCTTCCAGAGTAGCAGCCCATAGGACAGTCAGCTCAGTTCGCGACCAGAACTCAGATCTGACGACCATGGATGTCCCAAACACGAAATCGGACGGCTCATAGGTAAGGATGCGTGAGAGGGCTTGGTTTAAGCTTAGTTTTACTGTCCTTGATATTCCATTGTAGACTTTTCTGTTAAGGGATGGTACAAGGCTGTTAGTATCTTGAATTGACTCTCAGATCTTACCATTCCAGTGCCCTAGATTTATTTCATCAACTCTCTTACGTATCTGGAGTGATATCTCTTCTCCTATGTAAGCATTTAAGGATCAGGGATCAGTGTTCTCTTCCATACTTATTTGGGTGACTTGGTAACCAGCATACTAATGCACTGGACCTTTGTGCAGGCCTTCAATAAAAATTCCTGTCTCTGTTATGATGCCATTGGCTCATGTGGTGGAATGGACTTACAAGTCGTTCTGCAAGTATGGCATGAAGGTTCCTCAGTTGACACCGTCAAGGATCAGGCTCCTCTCATGCAATCGAACATTCAGTTGCTCAAGAGCGAAAGATCAGCTTGGTTATGAACCCATTGTATCACTCAAGGTGTTTTACTGTGTCCTCTAGTTTTTTCATTAATGACCTTCCTTGACTTGATTTGTTTTTGAGTGGGATGATTTGAAGAACAATTTCAGTTCATTTCCTACTTATCTCTTATGAATGTTCAACTATAAGCAATTCATATTGTTTTGAAATTTCAGGATGGGCTGAAGAGAACAATAGAGTCGTATTCCCATATGCAAGCTCAGAATCAAAGGAGTATATCAAAGACTTCGATTTTGCTTGGGAATGGAAATGGTATGACTCAATCTGCCTCCCCCTCCTCCTGCTATCATTACTAATTGTTTTCTAATTACTTTCAGTTGCAAAAACGCTTCTTTGGGAAGATACGAAGCAAACAATGACAGTGCTACTACTATTGGCCGTTATCTACTACCAGTTATTCACATGTGGTTACACCATTATCACAGCAATGGCAAAAATTTTCTCACTAACAGCACTGTTCTTGTTCATTCATGGCATGCTCCCTGCAAATGTGTACGGTCCTCTCTTATTGTGCTTTATTTTGCTGAATATATAGCTGCTACCAGATAGTTAAACAGCATTGGGGTCTTTTAATCATCTCTTAGCATTTCCTCAAGTGTTCTCATTTATTAAATTGTGATTTTGGTAATTATTGCAGGTTTGGCCACAAGATTGAGAAACTTGAGCCCTCAAACTTCCACATCTCACAGGTGGAGGCACATCATATTGCTTGTTCAGTCAGTTCATCATGGAACTCATTAGTTGGCGTGCTAAAATCTCTTTGTAGGGGAAATGATTGGCCACTTTTTCTCAAGGCATGATATAATCTCATGCTTTATATTTGTACGCTTCACATACTTGATGAGTTGATGTTGTGCTAAGTACTGACACCTGGCATACGTTTTATGTTAATGTCTAACTGAGTTCACTTTTCTCTTCATCAGGTGGTATTCTTCCTACTGGTTGTTAGCATCCTTAGTGCCATGTCTTCGGAGGCTGCATTTAAAATAGGTAATGAAATACTTCAGGCTTCGCTTTCTAAATTTTAGTGAATGCATCATCTGCATGACTACTAATGACATCAGAATTTACATGCAACAATAGGTATTCCTCTCATTTTCATAGGCTTCAAAGCATATGAGAAATGGGAGGACACAATTGACAGCCTGGTGGGTGATGCTTGTTCGTTCGTTCTACAGTTTACTCCTATCCAGATATCTTCAAGGCAGAAACAAACATAGACAAGGAGAACTCGTTAACAGTTGAATTTTATTTTGTAGTTATATCAAGTTTTACTTTTCAGTTATTGCTGATTTTCTATGAACTTTTAGTTTGACAATTACTCTTTCAGAATCATCATTCAGAGTCTCAATAAAGTTTATAAAATGTTTCCTTAATGTCGTTGATTTAAGATATGGTGGTGTACAGTTTTTCTTTGTTCTTTAGATGTTTACCCCACTGGACTGTATTGTTCGACGTATAGCACGTTGAAATTAGCTTTTATTGCCATTGAATCTTGCTGAATTATTGCAAGTGCTGATCTTCCTAGTCTTGTGCAGTTTGGTTAGGATTCCATCTGTACCAAATGCTTACATAGATTGTCTTTACTTGTGTGCCCTAATCTTGGTTGAAAACCAAAAGCACTCAATTATCCACAGATATGTTAACCGGGCACATGCGCGTATGCTTTACTATTTCGGTTGTAATTCCAAGGATGGCGCTATGCCTCCCGATCGGGTTGTGTGATCGGTTGCCTCCAGCACTGTGGTCTTTCTTATGACCCTGATGTTTGTTCATCTTACAACACGTCCGTGGAGGCAATAAAATTTATGGTAATCATGTGTGTTTGTCCTTTTTCCTCTTTTGGTGAGTATCGGTCCAGGATAGTAGATCCAGATTGTTTGGATTAGTGTCTCAGAGAAACTTATACCGATGCTCATTGCCAAGAATGATGTAATTGAATATGATCGACTGGGCGCCTTGTTGGGTCGTAGACTGTGGCGTCTACCCTTATTACCTTATACTCCCTCCGTTTCAAAATAGATGACTCAACTTTGTGTTATACAAAGTTGAGTCATCTATTTTGGAACGGAGGGAGTAGCTTGTAATTGCATGATTGCCTGGGACCATAGTTGGGTCTGTTGCATCTCGCTTGTTCTGGCAAGACTTCTATGGTCATGGTACCTTGCGGCCCTGGCATTTTTATCTTCATGTATGCGTGTTGCTGAGCTACCATGATGAGGACATTGCTGCTATGCACACAGCCCTGACTACCTATACTACCCCTACACTTGATTAAGAAATGATGTAAAATCAAAGTGACAATATTAGGTGATGTACATGAAGTACACCCATGTTACTTTGGGCTGCCCAAGACAAGTTACCACGTCTATTGTGTCCGGAAGCTTAGCTTGTGCATTTTCCAACCTAATTTGTCACATTCAAAATTGCAATGAGCTTGACACTACTGCTAAAATGCTGCAATAGAATTCAAGTCAGAGGGTGATGCGTCACCTCCACTGGGGCCCATGGGCTTTGTATGACCTAGGGTTGAGTTTTGGCTGCCCTAGGATGTGTGTCAACTCCCTTGGCCGTCATCCCTTATGTGAACTCCCTTTGTGGTTTTGGTAATTCATATCGACATATATGTTGTTGGATTAATGTTTTCCTTAGCATATTTCAGGAAGAGTTCAACTTAGGCAAGCTTTTGAATTTAGATGTGGACCTCTCAAGCTACTAAGCAAAGGTGTTGGCAAAGGTAAGATTCTACATTTTTGGTTAAGTGATCCAAAATCACATTGAGTCGATACGAAAGCCAATACTATTAAAAGGGGGTGAGATTTTGAGAATTGTCTAATTGCTCAAGTGCTTAGAGATATTGCTCTAAAACCTCAGCCACATTGATGCAGAGCATCCTTCAGTCATCCTCATGGTCACATCTTCGTCTCACAAGGCACCAAGTGGACCGATGACAAGGGCTCATGCAAGAGTCATCGAAACCGAGGTGAACTCCCTCATTCAACTTCCTTTCGAATCACATGAGACATGGCTACTACCTCAAGCGGAGACACTTTGCATATTTAGGTACCAAAGGACGAGCCATGGAGAAGCTAGAGAACAAGGCCAAGCGGTTGAGGAAGAAGAATGTGAAGACGAAGAGCAAACGAGACAAGTCAACATCCACCCGGATGATCTAGACCTCCTTCCAGACGATCCAGCCAAGGCGTCCGAAGACACCCGTAGCCTCTCCATGAAGCCGGATCATCTGGAACTCCACCCAGATCATTCGGACGAATCCGGACGTCCGGACGACGTCCTGGACATCCGACCCGGCCACAACAGCAGTGACCGAGCCGCATCATCCGGGTGACCACCCAGATCATTCGGACATTGCCCGGATCATCCGGGCAGCCACCCATCCGGCCTTTGCGTGCGCGCGCGACTCGGGCAGAGGCCCATGTACCCCTTCCCTCACTTAGACTATAAATATTCGTCTCCTACCTCCGTTTTAGGGTTAGCAAAGCATATGTTATGATCTAGAGAGAGATTTGCTCATCTACCTCTTCCCTTGGAGATCAAGACCTCTTAGAAGAAGATCCCCAAGTGGATATCAAGACCTCCTCCCCAGGATTGGAGAAGACTATCATCAAGACCTCAACTCATCCAGGTATTGGGAAGGACTACCCTTTGCTATTTTTCTCCTTGGATTTGGATCTTGAATCTTGCATGCGTATGTGGATTTAGTGGATGTGTGACCTTGGATCTTGTCATGTGAGTTCTCCTCTTGTGTTTGTGTTTGATTTCCCCCCTCCCCCCCTCCAAGTGTGAAGATCACCTCCTAGGTTTTCACCCCCAACATCTTGGATCCGAGCATAGGTTGATAAACATCTTGGAGTCCCTCCCCCCCATTGGCTAGCCTATTTTGTTGCTTTTTGTTCAATTTCGAAAATCTCCACCAAAAATAGCCCTACCATTTTGTTGGTTCTTGTGAGATTTTGTTTTTTATCCATGAATTTGTAGTTTGTCAATTTCAAAAATCCCCACCAAAAATAGCCCTACTGACCAATTCTTACCCACATCTCTTTGAGATTTTGAGTTGCAGTTCCCGTTTCCTATGGTGTTTCGGCTAATTAGGGACGGTTCGACATCAACACCACCGCCACTCATCATTGCCATGGACTTGACATCGACAACAATCGCTTCACCATTTGACACCATAGCCGCAAGCAAGGACAGTAACTCCGACGACATCTTTGCATTTTCCCTTGCCATTGCATTGATAACCCCAAGCCATTTGTGTCACTTGCCCACCGATACTAGCCACTTGAGAATTCTCGGGCTACGTTAATTGTGCACTTTAGTGATACATACGCCGCATAGCTTCATAGCATGTTCATATCACCTTATCATATTGTGTCATAGTTCCTTGTGCATATATCATTGCTATCTTGGATTGTGCATTTCGCATAAGTGGCAAAACATCATACACACAAAAAGGAGCAAGCTTTTAAGCAAAAGGAAAAGAATGCAAAGATCTTCTAAGCAATAACATTGAGCCACAATGCATACCATTGATCATCTCGGGTCATACATACATAGCATACTTGGGACAGAAGAACGACACGTTTTGTCTCTCTTATATTGTGCACAAGTACGTATCACGCCCATTGAGCAATCGTGCTAGAGTCTTTCTTGTATTCGTGCAACACGAACATTTCCCATGGTAACACATTTTGTGCTCATCCCTTAGTTGCACGAATCCCTTTTATCTTCTGTGTGCGTGCTCCAAGTGATATCATAGGTTTTTATCTATTTGCTTTACTTGCAATTTGTGAATCTTTTTCAACATCATCAATACCTTGGCTAAAACTTGCTTGAATTTTGTGCCACTCATCCTAACCAAACTCCTCAATAAGCCTTACTTGTGTAGGTCTGAGATTGACAAGATCCGGTACCAATAATACTACCATAATACCATATAGAGTGATCAATGATCCATCTTCAACATCAGGAAAGGTAAATTTGGTATTGTTCTTCTCTTGCTCTGCTACCTCTTGAGCATTGCGTTGGTTTTCTCTTGAAGAGAAAAGGGTGATGCAGTAAAGTAGCGTAAGTATTTTCCTCAGTTTTTGAGAACCAATGTATCAATCCAGTAGGAGGCTACGCGTGAGTCCCTCGCACCTACACAAAACAAATAAATCCTCGCAACCAACGCGATAAGGTGTTGTCAATCCCTACACGGTCACTTACGAGAGTGAGATCTGATAGATATGATAAGATAATATTTTTGGTATTTTTATGATAAAGATGCAAAGTAGAATAAAAGGCAATGAAAATAACTAAGTGTTGGAAGATTAATATGATGGAAGATAGACCCGGGGGCCATAGGTTTCACTAGTGGCTTCTCTGAAGAGCATACATATTTTACGTTGGGTGAACAAATTACTGTTGAGCAATTGACAGAATTGAGCATAGTTATGAGAATATCTAGGTATGATCATGTATATAGGCATCACGTCCGAGACAAGTAGACCGACTCCTGCCTGCATCTGGTACTATTACTCCACACATCGACCGCTATCCAGCATGCATCTAGAGTATTAAGTTCATAAGAACAGAGTAACGCCTTAAGCAAGATGACATGATTTAGAGGGATAAATTCATGCAATATGATAAAAACCCCATCTTGTTATCCTCGATGGCAACAATACAATACGTGCCTTGCTGCCCCTACTGTCACTGGGAAAGGACATCGCAAGATTGAACCCAAAGCTAAGCACTTCTCCCATTGCAAGAAAGATCAATCTAGTAGGCCAAACCAAACTGATAATTCGAAGAGACTTGCAAAGATAACCAATCATACATAAAAGAATTCAGAGAAGATTCAAATATTGTTCATAGATAAACTTGATCATAAACCCACAATTCATCGGTCTCAACAAATACACCGCAAAAAGAAGATTACATCGAATAGATCTCCACAAGAGAGGGGGAGAACTTTGTATTGAGATCCAAAAGCCATCTAGCTAATAACTATGGACCCGTAGGTCTGAGGTAAACTACTCACACTTCATTGGAGAGGCTATGGTGTTGATGTAGAAGCCCTCCGTGATCGATGCCCCCTCCGGCGGAGCTCCGGAATAGGCCCCAAGATGGGATCTCGTGGATACAGAAAGTTACCGCGGTGGAATTAGGGTTTTGGCTTCATATCTTCTCGTTTGGGGGTACGTAGGTATATATA